ATTCAAATTTTTGTCCTAAAAATTTGTCACTTATAAAGTTTATCATTTCTTTTCTATCTTCCGAAACTAATCGATATTTTATAATCGATCGCTTTCTAAACTTCTCAGAAAAGTGGAAAATAGCAATACTAAAGAGATGTGAAAAAATAAATTTTCTTATATTTTGAAAAACAGTGACTTTTTAAATAAGTGAATATATTAATTTAAGATTAAATGCATTATTTAAACTATTAATAATTAAATATACGAAATCCTAATCAAATTAAATATTCATAATTTTAATATAATATTTAAGAGTTCAAGTTTTAATAGATTAAATTTTAAATATACATATAATTTTAATTAATTTTTAAAATTTTTTGTCTAACTTGAATTTACACTATTTCGTGATCATTTCAAACGTGACATTTTTCTTATTTTATAATAATTAAAATTTGAGAGGAAATGAAAAAAAGAAGGTTAAATTAAGAAAGTAATTGATAATTGATAAGAAAACAGTTCGTGTACAATAATAATTGATAATTGATAACAGCCAGAAGATAAAAGAGAGAGAGAGAGAGAAGGAGAAAGAAAGGAATAATAATGATGAAAACATTAGAAAGTTGTTGTACTTTCCATCCAAACTAATATTATCTTCAAATGATTCGCGCTCGATTTAATTTGAACGTCATGTGGTCAATAACATGGCAATGACCACATCACATATACGATGTTAAGATTGAGGGAATGACCATATATCTCAGAGAAATAGATATAAGAGGGAAAATTACAGTACTATAACATGTTTGTTACAATGATAGACCGGTTTCATCATCTTTCAATCATTCCATTCTTACCGATTTATGTGGGACGTGTATGGGGTGTAGGAGTAGAGTGTTAAACTATTTTGGTTATCGTTCAAGGAAAGATAATGAATCTCACTAATGCACATATATATATATAAACTTGTTATTGGTCATTAAAGGAAAATATCATCGTAATATCATAGTTTTTCGATGGTCATTATAACGGAAAAAGCATTAAATGAAACGATGGGATCGAAATTAGAAGCATCAAATCTTCCGATAGCAAACATCTGGAATGTATGGAATGAAATTGATCATTTCAATAGTTTTCTATCATGGGAAATATAAAATTTCGAAGTGTAGAAGGTGGAAAATAAAGAAAATAAAGAGGGAAAAGAAAAGAAAAAAAGTGAATTTAGGATATATTATAAAATAATATATCTTGATTTTATTATACTAATAATTAGGATATATTGTAAAATAATATATTCTTAATTATACTAAAAAAAATTTTTCAAAAATTTTAAATAATCTTTTATTTATGAAAAATGTATGATTGTAAATGAAGGGAGTAAAGAAGGAAATAACTAGAGTGATTATATGATGTGACGGATAATGAATGTATGTATCATTAAGCTGGATAGTGAATAATATGGATATATGCATCATTTATCCGGATAACAAATAGCAGTTTGGAATTTTGAAAAGGTTGAAAAATAGTTGTACTAATATAAATTTGATTCTAAAATCTTAAGATTTTAGGAGATCTTATTTTTTTTTGATCTATTTTATCATGCAAAAGATGGTTAGTTTGATGCTACACATGACAGATTCCAGCAAATTCCAAATGAAATATTATGAAAAATTCTTCAAAACTTAGTTTGTTACTTACCTCAAAATCATTATTTTTAGTTTGTAGTAACAAACATCACAGAATCATTATTTTTGTCGTTTTATTGAACTTCGAAAATACACTACAATTACGAAACTAGATCTTATCAGCTAATGAAGCTTCAAATTTAATATAAAACTAAAAGTTAACAATCAGACCTGAAATTTAGTATGAAACTATTGGTAAGGGTTTAATCAACTAAACAGGCATATATTGCTTATCATTTATACATGAATATAAATATAATGATATTACAGACTAAAGAGACAAAAAATTCACTAATGAATTAATTTATAAATAAAAATGGAATGAATCAGAATGGATTTATTCCTTATCATTTTATCAAAAAACCTTTTTTCATTAAGTGATAAAAAATTGGATTGTCTTACGTAAATTGCACATTAAATAAGTTTTCCATTTTATATTTCATTTTAAAAAATTTTCGCTTATAGCTTGTAATTAATTTTTCTAAATATCCACTGATTTAAAATTATTTTGTCAAAAATATCGCTAAAATTTTGAATCATTTTTTTTCACGGTAAAACAATTCTATAATTGCAATACATTGAAAGTTTATGTTGAAAATTTTTCATCCCTTACTCCTTATTTAATTATAATTTCAAATAAATTATTATATCACATTTCAAAGTATTATATGTTTATGTATCTGAATAGGTTATGTATCGGAAATTATTTTATTTTCCGTTCTGGAGTTATTAATTAAATTCCATTTTCGATTTAATATTGTTGAATGAATGGAATGATAAAGCCATTTTGAGCTTTAAATTGATAACTACTAAAATGTCAGATATAAAACAATCAAAAAAATATATTCAACGAAGAGATATCAAAGAAGAAATAGAGATAAAGAAAAATTTTGTTGGTTGTTTTATTTGTTGCAATCGTATAATTTAATTTAAATTATTATAGGATACTAAATTACTATTATTATAGGACAAAAATTTCTTCTCATCTGAATTACTATCCAACATTTTGAAAAAATGTTATTAAATATATTTAAAATATATGGTTTTCTATTTTTCAATTAATAATACAATGATATATTTGATAGAGAATAAATTACAAAATATCAAAATTATACAAAATAATATAACATTTCGAAAATCTTTTTAGATTAAAAGGTAATCAATAGACTTTATATCACTATTGTAATTAATTAATTTAAATATTATGATAATCCTCAAAATTTGCCAGTGATAATTTAAACAATTAATCAGAATTACTATGTAAAATTAAAGAATTCATATTATTAACAAATAAAATTTCAATTGTCAATATAGAAAGCATTGGAAAAAGTTCTTCGATAAATTTAATTATTCATTTCTATCTCATAATATTTAAATTTACAACAAAAAATATTCCTAGGAAAATTGAAATTAAAAATCTTTCCATATTCCAATATTAATAATGTTACCTTTCTGTAACATAATTATACATATTTAAAGTTTTATAAGAATGTTCAAATATTGATAGTTGAATAGATAAATAATTAAAATATTAATTGTTTAAGTTACTTTAAACAAACCTAAAATTTAAATTCAAATTCTGATTTTTCTTAACATAATGATACACCTTTTTCAACTCTTCAAAATTTGCATTTTCGTCTTAGATAATTAGTCCAAAATAGTATGATCATAAGAAATTCTTTAGTAATATCACGTCATATATATATATGTGTGTGTGTCTGTGTGTGTGTGTGTCTGTGCATGCATGCCTTTACATTGCATTAAATATATCCTTTTCCTGTATATATATTTAGTCTGACAATTGAATATACACCATCTCGAACGTTATTAATTGTTCAGCATCCTTTCATTTTCAGTTGCTTAGAGTGTTACAGTTTATTCAAATTAGTGGATTATTCTATCCGAGCATTCATCCATCCCTTCCTTATTGCTTTAATTTTACTAAACTAATAGCAATATTACTGATTAACCTTTATTTCTTTATTGAATTAATGACAGTATTTGATGATTAGCTTTTACTTGCTAGTTTCAAGTGATCTACAGCTATTTTCAGTTCTATCAAAAAATCAATAATCATATTGGAGATTATATCATACATCGGTTACAAACAAGATAGCTGCAGCATTCAGGAAAACATACCTTAATTGGCTTCAAAGGTGCAAAGGAATAGAAAAAGAATTCTAACGAAACACCTATTCTAGGATATATTTCCACAAAAAGAACACTTTCCCGACTATAACATCTGCTGGCCAGACGCCAATTTCCGGTATTTTGGAACGATCTAGGAAATGGACAGGAGCGATTTTAGGCTAAATGTGTTGAGGAAGAGGAGAGATAGGTTGCTTACGTGGGCTGTGGAGTGTTTGCGTAGGTACTCCCGTACGTTCTGGGTTGTTCGGGAAGCCTTAAGATATTCGGGTAAAGCTAAGTGATTCGGTAGGAAATGGATTGTTAGTGTGATGGGTGGATTGTTCAGTGGGAAGTGTAGAAGATATTCCGGTTAGGAGTTCCTTGCGTTCCGTACATCAGTTTGTATATTTAGCTCAAAAATACATAATGTGAAACATGCGTCAAAAAGTTGATATGTAAATTTTGCTAACTTGTCGCAGCATGAAAGGTGACTTGAGACCAAATGTTAGTATAGATATTTAAGGTCGCTATAAATTTGTCGTTTGTATTTATATATTCGTGGTTCTGTGCTGCAAATCTTCATTTAGCAAACTTGAAAGCATTAATTTCAAAAATAAACAGATTTATCTTCCTTAGTGATATTGAATAGGTATGGGAGCTGTGGTATCGTGAGACCTGCATCATCTTGCGATACTTGAAATATCATTTTTAATTTTCAAATTTTAATCTAGTTAAAATTTGGTATGATTATTTCGAATTAGCTATAATCACTGGAAGGATATTGCAAGTATTCAAGAGCATATGATGGTAAGTACGAAGACGAGAACTAAGTGCAGTTGTCTTTAACCTCTTTTTCGCGTTTGATATTCATAGAAATTGTTTTCAAATAATCTGACAATTCCTAAATTATACGCGAGAAATTAATTTCACCTCAAATTATGATAAAACAATTGGAAATTGATTTTGTCAGTTACCTCGATAGCTTGACTGACAATTGGGCTAGCTAATTCGAATGATTCACAAATTTGTAACTTTTTCTTAAAATAAGTACCTCTGTTGGAAATATAAATTTGTTAGAGCGTCAACGAGTCATTTCTGGAAAAGTGAACACAAAGCTTTAACGATAACTAAGATAAGAGATCGAGATCTTCCTTAACCGTCTTTCTTTATCTTGATCTTGAAACTAAAATTGAGTTTGAAGTTGAGATGGAAGCGACATCGATGTCATCCAATAATTCACTGAAGAAACTTTGCGAGCAGTATGATCAAGAAATGGCCGACATTGAAGTAGATCTTGATATACATGTCAGCTTTTCCTTCATTTGCATATAATTATGGCAGCAAGAAACGAAGACGCACATATATTACATTTAGTGATAAAAAATCCACGATTTGCTGTCTATGTACATCTCATATTAGTTCATGTCAGTTCTGCATGACGTGTGTTTTACATATGTTGTGTCAGGAATTCATCTCTTTTTTAATTTTGAGCCGAAATAGGAAGGAAAGTAAAAAAGTTGTTTTGTTTTTCAATGATACTCCAAACTAACTATTTTTGTTTGAATCATCTCAGGACAAAGTTAATAAACTCATGAAGGAAAACCGTGTAATCAACCAGCAACAATTCTCGTCAATGCAGAAAAACACGGAACAAACGGAAAAAGAGTTGCAACTACTGGATGAGAAGACAAATGAACTTGTTCAAAGGTTCTCTTTTTTCTAATGTACGTTTTTCCAAAATATTTCTTCCAAATTATTTAAATTTTTTTATTTTTATTGATTTTTTAGTACTAACTCACAAGGCGAGAAAATTGAAGAATTGAAACGTGTACAACAGCAAATTATGAGTGGTATCAGTGATGGTTGGTATAGTTTCTGGATTTCTGTAAGAGCTTCTGTTTGGCAAAAATATAGCTTAGGAATTGTGTTGAAGCTTTAAACAGCAAAGTCTATTCGCATCCTAATATCGTATATATTGAAAATGTGATTCCATATTAATTATGACATGATTAACTGCTAATGATACAGGTTATTTGGATCATTTAGAACTTAATTTATCCAATTCCTGATTTCGGTATTTTTTTAAACCATGATCAACTTCGATGAATTTCACGAACTAAAACGATATGAGGATAGCTAATCGGATGAATCAACTGAATTTCTTATATCTCTTGAAGATGCTTATATCTAGTTGATCAATGTAACCCTCAAATAGTTCAAGTAAATTTACGTGAAGAGCGTACTAAAGAAGGAATCTTTTGATTTATATTCTTCAAATTTTAAATTGCGCATATAAAAGAATATTACAGTGTCAATATGTTGGATCAAGCAGATATTGGATAGAACCGCTTACGCAGGATTTACCCTGCAGCTTTATAAATGTGATGAGCATTTAATTGCCAGAATACTTTGACAATAATGAAACTATAAGTAATGGATAAAAACTCGTACGAGATTATGAATAGTAAAAGAAGTATAAAAATATGGGCGATAAATATTAGTATCGCCTTATATTCAATGGCAGGACGCTATTAAAATAGCTCGTAAGACTATATGGAGAGAAATAACATTAGGATTCCTAAGACGTCTTACTTTACTGAGATTACAATCAATCTTTGTTATTTTTGTCTTACATTCTTTATTGACATTCTATTATAAATTTATTTGGCACAAGTGTGTATAAATTTTTTGATAAAAATATTGAGCACTGGCTTGTAATAACTTATATATAAATGCTTATGATAATAGCAGTCAGTACTTCTAGCTCAACATTGTCTGATTGCTGCTCAAAATACTACTCGAGATGACTTGGAAAGATTGCATTCGACGGAAAGAGAAGCCCAGAAATTTCTAGAAAGCAATTTGGTTTCATCAAAATTTTCTGGCGGTAATGAAATAATTTGTCGGGAAATTTGTTACTTTGGAAAAGCTTTGTTTTATTCTTCCTATTGAACATCTTGCAGTTGCATCAAAGTTGCAAAATTGCCAGAAAACGTTCTCTTCAAAGGTGCAAGAATCAATCGACCATTTAGCTTCAGTGGTTCGTGCTATATTTTGATCTGACATAAGAATAGATTTAAAGATTTCTAATTTAATATGTTTTTATGAAGTAAGTACTATATCGAAGTCTTCAGATTGTGAAAGCATTGCAGTTAAGTCTAATAAATGAGTAAAAGCTGATTTGATTAACACATGTAGATGGATGAAGTACTTCGGATCGTAAGACTTTTGAAGATATGAAGACATGTGAATTACTGTTAATAATCGGCAATGCATCAAATAAGAGAATTAGTGTCATGATGGTTGTATTGTGGAGCTCTTTATACCGAATTGTTTAGAAATCAATTGTGGACGAAGCTGATCATTTACATAATCTTGAGAAGGTTTTGGGAGAAATAAGAATGGATGCTGCAAATCTAGAGGGACGAATTGGTAAGTGTTAAATAACCGAATTATGCCGTACATTGCATAAGTGTATCATCCTTTAGTTCTTAATTATTGGGTATTAAATCCAGATTATTAAATTAACCTAGAAAGTGTTAAATCTAGGTGAAATTGATGCCCAGTGTTTGGTTTATCGTAACAAAATCGCCAAGTTGAGTGCAGAGCAAGAAGAAGAAAAGCAACGACGAAACGCTATATCTGAAAAGTACCAACAACGTAAGAGACGTGTTGCAGATCTTACACGTAATCTTAGCAGTCGTAAGAACGATAAAAAGTTGCTTTCCGAAAGTATGAATTCTAAAGAGCAAGAATTGGTTAGTTTTTCATTCTTTTGCAAAGGCAAAATGAAGCACAATCCGTTTCTTTTTTCTTTGATGAGATTTTGGGATGAAATTTGGAACACAAATTATTGTAGCAGTCGCTACGTTGTTATGCCAGTTTTTATTCTTCGCAAGAAATTTTTCTCAATTTCCAAATTTTCATGCATACATGTTATAGAACAAAAACGAAGAGCGTTTTAAAAAGAAAAATGCCGATTCTGCAGCTATTCAACAAGAAGTAGATGCGATAAAGGACGAATTAGCCAAACTTGAAGACGCTATGAGATTTGAGCGCGAGATTCACGAGCAAAAAGTTCAAGAAATTAAGGTCCGTAGGCGTCTCTTCATCGCCAGTCAAATATGTGTTAAAAAAGTTGTCTTAATTGGATGGGTGGAGTTTGTAAACCTTCTTTTAAAGATGATATGTGGTTATGTGATACGCTCTTATGACAAGATGCGTTATAGTTGGTCGGTTTTAATGATTATGTTTTTTTTATGATTGATTTTTATAAAAAACATTTTGGATTTCGAAATTAATTTTTCATTATTTCCACCTTCATTTGCAACTTTCCTTAACTAATCAGTGCACAGGAGGGAGGTGAAGCTAATTTATGCGCTACAAAATCGGTCTTGATGGGTCTATGTGAAAAAAAGAACACCAAGCTTATACAGGTAAATAGTGAAGACTTTTTCAGTTTGCTCTTCCTATGTGTTCTATACGAAAATAGTAACTGCATAGCATCTCGTCATGTATTCATCATTACGTGTCAAAGCATTTATTTGTGTATTCATGTATTCTTATCTTGCTACGTTAAGATTCAACAAGCTCGTGATGATCTCAATAAAAAATCAGAATTGGAAGCTCATAAGAAAATTAACGAAGAAATGGAACGGAATTTGGAACAATTGAAGCAGGAGAAAGCACAACTTCAGCTTGAAGTTGACGAAAAAGAAAGCCGTCGAAATGCACAAGTTTAAAAATTTTTTTTACTTGGCCAAGTGCTAAATGCATATCACCAGTCTATCATTCAGGGTATGAATGAATTAAAGGGCATCATTAGCTTTGCGTCTGTTTTCCTCACGTTTCACATATGATAAGAAAATTCCCAGAGTAATATTTTCTAAATGGATAAAGTAGTTTTTTGAGGATTTATCAAAATTCATATATGATAAATTACAACAAATTTGTATTTCAGCTTTCTGGAATGAAAGCTATGAAAAGCGCATTTCAAGAAAATAAGCTAGAAGCTTCCAAGAAACGTGAATTTTTGATGGGAGAAGTGAAGCGTATGAATGAACAGATTCTGGGCTTGAAGCATAAGATCCAGGTTAGTATTTGGAGAGCACACTTTATTGATATCGAGAAAATAATTTTTGTATAGATAGTTCATAAAATCCAAGTAGGTATTGTAGGACTTCTACCTGCATTTTCGGCATTTGTACTATATAAATATGAATGGGAAAAAATATTCCTTCATAGAATCTTATCATTATATTACAAAGAAGGAAGAACGGCGCCTCAAGACTCAACGAAATGCGATGAATAGACAACTGAAGATGGTGGCTCTTAGCAAGGGTATTGGTACTCTTATGCGCTGTGCTTTTGAAAAAGACGAGAAATCTCGACAAGATGGCGCTGGAGCAACACATGGATCACCGACAAAGGGATCGACAGATCAAGGAGAAATAGGGCAAGAACCACAGCGAATAGAATTTGATGAGGTTGTATTCTAGTGTTTATCGAATATGATTTTAACTTTAAATTGCATTTACTTCGATCACACCACTAATTATATTTGTAAAGATAATATCCAAATTTTTAGAATTGGATCGATTAATAGATATCGGTAACTCATTTAAATTTTTTTTCCTTTTCAAGTGAGTGTCATTCGATTTAGGTGCAATTGCTTTGAATCTGAATGAACAATTCTGAAGAACATTCAGAAATTATAATGGTGAAAACGTCAAAATTTTTGCATTTTTTATCTGTTATGAAGTTTGAACTCGGTTTTCATGAATAGATAGGAAGAAACGAGGAAAGTGTTAAGGATGTCAAATCGGAGAGATCTGGAGACGAAGAAATCATTGTTCGGGAAACTGATCCACAAAAACTTCTTCCAAAAAAATCTGCAGAAAACGAGAAAGTTTGTTAAATTCTATATATATTTTTTAAAATTCGTCTTAATTTCAGGCAATTCCACTTGTCATCTTCTTTTATTAATTAGCCAAATTTTAGATGAACCCAACTTTTGTTGCCTCAGAAATCAAAGAGCCGTTTCCTACTGCTAAAAGAAGTGGGGAAAGAGAAATAACACAGATATCAAGCGCTGAACAAGAAGGTATCTCACATTCATATCAATATTCCACCAATATGAGCATTAAAGTATATTCCATGTTATACTTATGTACCAAAAATTGTTTTATTTTCAGAGCTAGAATTTTTACAACCTACCACAAAATATAAAGCGTCAAGATATGATTTGTTAAACAAGAATTTTTCAGTATCGAATACTTCACCAGTTGCGTCAAAATCATCAAAAGTAGGTCGTCAGACTCGTAAAAAACGCGAACAAAAAAAGGAACAAATAGCTGAGTAAGCCAGTTCTTATTCAGTTTCTAAGTTCATAGTTAATTCATCAGGTCATAATCGATACCATTAAAGAACTTACTTTTTATTTAGTGTTTTTTCCAGAAATTTGGTTGTCACGCTTTTTGATAGTGACGTATCAGCGAGCACCATCAAACCGATATACGCTTCAACTCCACTGCTTCAGAAGTATTTCTTTTGATAAAAATTCTGTAACTGATTCATATTTCATTTACTGATTAATCTTAAATCTAGATCTATGGATTGCATTTTCAGAAACGATGAATCTTCTTCATCGTTTTATCATGATGCAGTGGAAGATACGCAAAAGAAACGTGGAAGACAGAAAGGGAAAAAAGTGAGCATGCTTTAATTTAATATTGTTTCTATTCATATGAAAGTGAGAACAAATGAAAAGCAATAAAAAGGACCGTTTTCAGGCTGGGAGAGGGAGAGGGCGAGGAAGAGGAACACGTGCTAGAAATGACAATTCGAAACTTAGAAAAAACAAAGATGCTTATGATTTGGATAGTGATTTTGATTGAACGAACTTGGCAATTGCTAAAGCTAACATTCTATTTTTCTTCGCTTATTTCGACAGTTCCTGTTTGTACGAAATTTAATCCCAAATGTTTCTTGATTTTTTTCGTTACTTCTGTTTGTAGTTACGCTGTTAAACATTCATTAGTGTTTATTTCAGCATTACTAACTTGAGTAATTCAAATAATTCCAATGAGTTATATGTTTATTTAAGCAAGTATTTTGAGGGTGTTAATTATAAAGAGCTGAATCAAGCTTTGTTTGTCTGCTAAACGCAGAATTATTTTCTTGTTGAGATCGTTGAGTTTGAAAGTGTCTTAACCGCATGTTAAAATTCTGTACTAGTTTCTGTTGAATAAAGTTAATTTTTTCTTATGTACTCGAAATTTAAACAACATGAGTGATTAAAATTATTCACAGTATGATGCACCTATCATAAACATAAATGTGCAGTTGAGAGCTTAATAGTAGTATTGTAAATAATGACAGTAAATTGTCTTCCAATAGATAATTGGGTCTGATCTACATCGCATTTCCAAAATGAACGGAAATTTAATATTAGCGAGATCTGGTTCGATGTTCCTCCTTGAAATTATGTCGATTTTCAGTCTTATACGAGTAATGCTATCACGGATTGTATGTGATAGCTTATTAAATTAGTGTTTGCTTCATATTCTACAGTAGTTACTTAGATTTTATAGTCCTGGTTTTGAAATTTTCCAGCCAGATAAGTGATTATTCCAATTGTTTGTGTTACCCTCTCTTTACCTCAAATTATGGTTTGTTTAAATGGATAGTAAGCTTCAGCTTCCCGTTTAAAATAAAAAATCATTATAAGATCTTTTGATTCTGAACAACTCATTTCATAACCGGTTGTTGTGTGCTATCTTCAACGAAATATACAAGTCGCGTACAAATATAAGGACATATAGTTAACACTTTATTATGCTCATTATATATTTATCAGTATATATCATTAAGAGAGAATACAGAGTTTTAAATTAATTAGAATATAATTTATTCGGAGAATTGAAAAGAATCACAGTTGTATGGCCAAATATTCTATTTCTTTTTCGATCGTATTATATTTCTCAGAATTAAATTTCGGATAGATAATTGGAGTGGTTTGGAAATCTGAATTTGAAATTTGGATTTTGTTTGTAAATGATACAAAAATACAGAGAGATGTCATAAAAATGCAAAGTGTTGTTAACACAAAAGAGCTGTAAGGATATTAATATTTTTTGTTTTTTGATAGAAGAAATTTGTCAATAAACGAATAAACAAATATATTCTAATTATTAATTTAAAAGATGAAAATGTTAGGATTTTAAAAAATTTGAAAACTCTGAAAAAGTAATTCACTCAGATAAAATTTTCAGTATTATATATATCTATGAAATTGAAAGAGTTATCAGTAAAATGATATGACATTATTTTAGTTCATCATCCTCTTCCACATTGATATTAATTACAAAATAGTATGTAATACAATTTTGCAAGATTACTTCAGAAATGAGCAGTTTATAACAATAAGTTGCAAATAGGAAATTCCTTTAATATGCAAATTTCAAAAAAAGCTACCTCCGACCGTTTTTGATAGCATTCCCATAAATAGTCACATTATACAACAATATATTATAGAAAATAAGATCATAACACATCCAGTTTTTGCATTAACTGATTCAAGAAATCATGAATTTCGATTTCCGTTGCGGGGCAATGTGTCTTTCGTAACAGATCCTTAAACGTATGCTACTATTTCAATACATCGGAATTTTAGCTCACAATGGTATCATATTTAAAAAAGTTGAAACTTGATGGATAGGTCTATTATCAAGCATTACTTATCATTTACGGAATCCTAAACGCTAATATAAATTCCGTTAACAACAATATGATAATCTCATTCATTCTCTTTCTCTCTTTCTCTTTCAGGAAAGATATATCACTTATTGTAATAAATCTTAAAAAAAGATGTGGAAGTTTTACCATTACATAACGGCGCCTTTCTGGTTCCGTATTGAGATCGAGAACTGCATCAACATCAATATCAATATTGTCCTGAATTCATTAGTAAGTATTGAATGCTTAAAGATTTGCATTTTGCTTAAATTTAATGCAAGATGAATTTGTGATAAGAGAGATAAGGTATAGAATGTCCTTTGTAATTTCAGTGGTACTTAAGAGTTTATAATTTAATTAAATAATTCATGGCTTGGTGACAGTGATCCTTTTGAAATAGCTCTTTAGCTCCTTCCTTTTCGTTCCTTCTTTTTCTATTAAAGTTTTTAAGGTAGATAACTGAGATGTGAAAGGATAGCAGCAGCTGATAAGGGATTAAGCTAATTAGAAGTATTCCTTAATGTGCATCCAATAATTGGCTCTTTTTCAATATTATTTTTATATAAGATAAGCAGTATTATTTAACAGGAAGATCGACCTGGATATATTTCAAAATAAAGCGGATCTAATAAAATTTCAATTCGCTACTGATAAATTTTGAAACTACCGTAGCAGTTTTATAAAGCTCGTTCAACTGATCGTCAATCCAATTTTCCACATTCATTCGCTTCTTAATTAGCATCATTTGATGTTTACCATATTTCATTGTTAACATACGACTTCGTTCATCTGTCTGCAAACTAATCATAAAATTGACATATTTTACAGTGTTTAAATATACTAATTAAAAGTTTAAAATTTATTACATTAAAAAAAGCAAAAGGAGAAAGAAGCTGTTTGCAAATTTTTTATTGTTTATTGTTTATTAAACTAATTGGTTCTTTTCACTTTTCTCTCTTTCTAACTATTTTTTCTTTTTTGTAGTTTTAATACAAATATTCACATTTATTTATAGTTTTGCAATGAAATTAATGACAGCCATACGCTATTAGACTAATTTGAAATCATTTAATTTTAACCCTTAATTTTTTAATGAAACGGAAAATTTTTTCCTTTACTTTCCACTAATTATTCTTTAATACATTTTGCCTAAAATGAAACAAAAAAGTAGAGAGAGAGAGAGAGAGAGGGTTCTCTTGACACAAGCATGTTTTTGAAACTATAATTTTACACAAAATGAAATTCAAACCTGATTTTGGGAAGTATGTAAGCGATAAGATTAATTATTACATTAATTTATTACTTCAAAGACGCATATATTTGTAGAAAAAACAATATTTATAAAAATTTAAAAAAATTTTTTGTTAAATTTTTTTAAAAATTTTGATTTAGAAAAAAAGATTGTTGAATTTTTCATTTGTTGAAATTTTTGCCATTTTTATTTATTCGTTTTGATAACTATTGATAATAATAAATAATTTATTATATATCAATGTGTTGAAATTTGTCGAAGCACTCAGTGATGAAGTATATGTATGTATCTTCTTCAATTAATGTTAATTTTAGAAATGACAAAAATTTTTAAATTTGAAACCTTCAACAAATATGTGATGAAGCAAATGAAAATAAGACAACTGAAGAAAGAATGAACATTTTATGATAGCTTTATTTATTTTTTCAACTTTTTTTCTCTTACTTTTATTTCAACTTTTTCTTTTCCCTTTTTTTAAAAAATCATAAAATACTTTTTTTCTCATTCTTTTCCTAATAAATAAAGAAAGGTAATATATGGAAGAAAATAAATAAACTAAGTTATCTCTTTCCATTCTAATATTTTTGAAGTAATTTTGTCAATTACAATAAAATCGTAAAATGCTATTAAATTTGAAATTGTGGTAGTTTAATGGAAAAAAAAATGTTTGAAGGACAAGTTTTCAAATTTAAAGATTTCATTAAAAATTTTGCATTGAAAAATTTAACATTTACATAATTCATTTGATACCATCAAAATCTGAACATTACTAACGAATATCAGAACAAGTTATATGAATTTATTTAATTGAAATAACATTTTTGGATAATGTCCGATTGGTTTTATAAATGTTTTGTTGGAAGATTTTTTTTATGATAAAAGGCCTTCTGAAAATATGTGAAAATTAAATGACTAAATTAATTATCCTAGCTATCGATTAAATGACTAAAATTAATTTACCCCAGTTATCGATTAAATGACTAAAATTAATTTACCCCGGTTATCGATTAAATGACTAAAATTAATTTACCCCGGTTATCGATTAAATGACTAGAATTAATTTACCCCTGATATCGATATCGATTTGATTAATTTGTATATTTACCCCTGATATCGATATCGATTTGATTAATTTCAATTTAAGTTCTTTGTTTTGTAGGAAATCTCATTTCAAATAAACGCATGCCGAAAATCTAAATTACATAATTTTAAAATGATGCAAATTTCAAAAGAAAATTCTGCACAATTGAAAACTTGTAATTTAGATGATTGAATTATTTATCTCGGCCACCGATTTCATTAATTTCTAAATATTTCAATTAATTTCAATCAATTAACACTTCAATTAATTTCATTTCAATCTATTAATTTCAATGTAATTTATAATTATTCGGTCATTGTAATCTGAATAACGATATAAACAATTTATTAATTTCATTGTAATTTATGATTATTCGGTCATTGCAATCCGAATAACGATAATCTATTAATTTCAATGTAATTTATAATTGTTTGGTCATTGCAATCCGAGCAACGATATAAACAATCTATTAATTTCAATGTAATTTATAATTATTTGATATTATACAATTCAAATTTATGAATGTATGCAATAAACATTTCAAATATAACATATAAATGTTTGATGTAAAGAATAAAATAAAGTATAGTGAATGTATAAAGGTATAGTAGAAGTTGTAGATATGTAACAGTAATACATAGAACACATTTTGATTCAAAAAGAATTATTATTTTAAAATTGATAAGAAATAATTTATGACTTCCTTAAAGTCTTTTGCAATTTCAAATCAATTAATTTCATTGAATCTTTTTTTTTCAAAATGTAAAATGCATTGTATGTTTGTGTAAAAATTTGCACTCAATGAAAAAAATTCAATTTCATTTCAATAGGTAAAATGAAAATCGATGGAAACATTAAAAGAAATCCTTTCACCTGTTTGGTTTTCTTCTCTTATCATAAGCTAACTTAACTTTGAATATTTTTTGATTGAATTTAATTAGCTTTTACAAATCAAAGAAAAACTGAAACCTTATTCCGTATAAGTAAGTAATCGGAAAAATCACATAGTCTTACAGAAAAAGAGCAAAACTGATTTTCAAATAATTGATTAGATTGGGAAGGAAATTGATTAAATGATAATATCAATTTAGTTTTGAAATTTTTGAAATGTCTTTCAAAAGAAGAAACATTAAATATGTGTACTATAAAACTAATAGTTTTCTTCGATGTTTGCAATATCAGTGCAAAATTTTGTTCCCATTATAAAAAGTTTAAATTTGTTATTAAATTCACAACTATAAAATTAATAGAAATTTTAATTGATTTCTTAAATTACAGCAAAATTTAAATTCTAGGAAAAAAGTTTGATAAGAAAAAGAAATAAAAACCTTTCTGATTTTTTGATCATTGAAATGAGCATGTTTTGCGATATTATCTGCCATTACTCGTTGTACTTTCGGTCGATCACTCAGAAGAGTTCACAATTTTAAAAAAATAAACTTTGATAGAAACTTTTTCTTTTGAATAAAAAATTTTGCGAACAAATTGCACTTTTCCAACGTATAACTTCAACAGAATGCTTTTTTGTGTCGGCAAATTTCTTTAAATGGTTTAAAATTCCTGCAAATAAAATCAAACTGATTCATTCATTATGTTTGAAATAAAAGGCTAAAAGATTATCGGCAAAAGCACACTTCAAAAAGGAAATTCGATTTTCAATTTACCTTTTATCAATGAATTAAATGTTTTGTTATTTCGTTTAAGCCTATCGTTAAATAATTAATTGTTAAGAAATTTTGAAAAAGATTCCTTTGTAATATTATCGTTGTAAAAATTTCTATTTACAAAAATCAATATTACTTAATTATCATTAATATTCTATTCCTATATCATTTCAAATATTAATTATCATTGTTCTTTATGAAAATCTATTAAATTTACAATAAAATATATGAAAAGTTTAAAATGCTCAAGCATCTGTCATTAATGATATCAATAAATTTCAAAAAAAAAAAAACGAATAAAAGCAAATTTTCTGAAACAAAAGCTATAATGAATGTGTGAAATGAAAAAAGTTCAATTTGATAAATTATAAATATTATTTCATTTAGCAAAATATAACGAAAGGATTATTTAATTACGAATAGCAATAATGAATTAATGAGAATGGTGGAATAAAATTTTAAAGAAAAAATGAGATAAAATTAAATGAAACATTTTTTTCATATACAATATGATGAATGAAAGAAACGAAGTTTGATATTCTCAAAAAGATAATTAATATTATTCTTAGAATAGAACGAAAGATTGATATTAATTAGTTAGATTTTAATCACCATTTTTGTCCTTTAGAATAATTCCCCATTTTGTTTTAAACAATTCTAAACCTATTGCCTAACGTATCGCCACAACACCGCTGTCATTAGCTTTAAAAATATAATTAGTGAAAGGAGGAGGAAGCTTTTGGAATAGTGGCATGAAGAGGGTGTGACTATCAATTAATCATTAAACATTTGAGCAAACTTAAACACATTAATTAAAAGAAAATGAAACGATATTTTAATCAATGATAAAAGGAAATTGTTTAATTGTGATTTTGTGATTAAAACGTATCACAATGATTGAGCATCATTATTTTGAAAGGAAATGATAACAGTAATGATTCAATGAGTTGATAAACTGGCAGATTGAAAGCAAAGAGTGAATATGTTTATAACGATGTATTATATCATCCTTTTTGACTAACAGCATTATATATTGCTGATGATATCCAATGGCAACTGATCATAGAAGATAAGTAATAAGTGATAATTGATCATGAAAGACAAGCAACTAGCTAAGAATGATAATATCAAAGATAACTAGCTTTAAACGGTAAATAAATGTTGAAAAATGTTTACAATACAACACAATAAAATATAATGGACTAAAATTTTATTTTATAGATTGATGAGATTTCAGAATACCGGTTAAATGAGAATTTCGGTTTAATGTATGTTAACCATCTCATCTTCTTTATTACCATTTAATGTTGATGTTGACGCTATCATTTATTATTATCGATATAAATAATTGCGAATAATACGATGCTTCCTTTTTTCCGATTTTCCTAATGCAAAATATTTACCTAATTCTATTTCCATATCAACATCCATCATTTATTTCTAACAATAATCAATCGAAAAAATATAGGCAATAAGAAACGTATAAATTATGTAAGATGAATAAATTTTAATGACAACGATAACAATCAAAATTTTACAAAATCAAAAAAAAACGCAAAATAATAATAATAATAATAATAATAATAATAATAATAATAACAATAATAAATAACAATAATAATAATAATAAATAAATAAATGAGAATGAATTGCAATTTTATTGATGGCATAAATTTACAAATATTTATAATGCTCCTAACTTCTTAAACCATATTATTACTACCAATTTTTGATAATAATGACTACCATCATTTGCGCACCAAATTTCATACATTCATTATAAATAAATAATATTGCGCATTTCGTTTCATCAAGGTCGTCATCGTCGACGAGACCAATCGCGTTCTTTCCATTAAGAACTGACCGACCTTTCGATAAATTCATTTCTGGATATGTTTGTATTAATGATGTCAATTTTCTAACAGATAACCTTCAAATAGTTCGAAACAATTTCTTATTTGAAACAGTTGATTGAGCATACAATTATCGTCCATTTTCATTTATTCAAGTAAGAATGTTAGTGTCAAATATGAAATTTTAATATAAAGTTTGATTAATTTATGCAAAAATATTTATGACAAATGTTTATATAGCCCATAACTATAGGGCTTTAATTTTAGTTTTAACTAATCCCTAAGATGTATTGAAAATTATTAGCAAACATTGGCAAACATCAATTTATCGAGGGTAATTCTCTATAATATAGGGTTAAAGGTTATCAATATAAATTTATCCTAATCACTTATAAACGAGGAAGTTAGCAACATCTTCATCAAAAACAATACATCTATGAGCAATTGAAAATGATAGATATTATCATTTTTATTTGAAGCTTCAATCGAAGTCAGCAAAAAGTGTATGATTCATAAAATTATTTTAAAAGCAAAATAGAGAAATCAGTAAACGATAATATTACTTTTAAGATTAATATCCGATGATTATTTTAAAGGCACTTAAATGATTAAAAGATTTTTTTTTCGATATGTAAAATAAAATCATTCGAAAAATGAAAAAGTAATTTTATGTAAAATAATATCGAAGAAATCTTTTAATCGTTTAAGAGCTTTGAAGTGTTCGTAGGCTTGAGAAGAAGAAGAAGCAATACTTATCGCAATAGGAGCATTCTAAAAATTCGTCAAGGCATTACTTCAAACAGCTGTTAATGCCTACGAAATTTTATTGCACGATTTTCTGTAATAAAGAGATCGTCTAAATTATATTATGCTAATTAGTCAGCACATTTTAATGAATGTAAGATTAGTAAAATCATTAGTAATATAAGAGAGGAAAAGAAGAAGAGAAACGAACAACAATAATAATAATAGCAACAGTGATTTGTCATTGTAAATAAAGCTAACTATTCATATTAGTTTAAAGTTTAAATGAAAAAAATTTAAAATATTGATTTAAAAAATTTAAATATTAGTTTATTTAAATATATTAGTTTAAATTAAAAAAAGAAAAAAAGGATAATTGTTTGTTTTTGTTCTTTCTTTCTTTTGCCCTTTCTTTCTTTATGAAATTAATAGAAAGAGTAAAATAGGGATATTGATGAGTTAAATTATCTCTAAAACTTATTCAATACCGATATTGATTAGTTAAATTATTTCTATAACTTATTTAATACAGATATTGATGAGTTAAATTATTTTCGAAACCGTATTTAACATAAGGACATTGATCAGTTGAAGTATTAAATTATTTCTAAAACTGATCGGATAATATTTTCTTTCCGTTTTTCTTTATCATTTTTTAATTCCTTAAATTATTTTGAGTGATAATGTATGATATGAGAAGATGAGTGGAAAAACAAATTGGGTATGTTTTATTTACCGATGATATTAGAATGAATTTCTTCTAATTATGCCTCTTTTCCTTTGCTATCTTTCATAAGCATTTTAATTTTATATCTTAAATTGGCAGATTATCAACCAAAAAATTATATTTTTCCCTCCAAAGAAGCGATAAAATTTGCTTTGAATAAAAAATAAATTTAAAATTTTATTTATTTATCGATTTTTCATTTAAATTAAATTTAATTTATTAATATAAATTAATGTAAATTTTGATTAAATTAAATTAAATTTAATTTAGTTTATACAAAGCAAAATTATTTTTTCTTTCTTTTTATTTAAAAATATAAAAATAAGAAGCTAATATAAATATATTATTTTTTAAAATGGCTGAACATAATGTTGTATGGGAAAGAAAGATGGGTGGAAGGAAATAAAAGTTATAAATAGCACATTTAACAAATTATTAATGAATCTAAGATAAATAGATCGTAATTAAATAATAGACAAAAAGTAAATTCAAATTGATCATTTCATATAAATTAATATATCGAATGCATAAAAAGCATTGGTAAATGAAATTAAGTACTTAATTGAATAATGAAAAGTAATTTTTGGAATCTACGAAATTAATGAATAATTTGAAAAAATCCGCTGGAAATTATCATTTCATTTTTATTTGTCGGAATATTTTGTGAATTCAATATCGTCTTTTTTATTTGAAATGAAATTTGCTGAAATTATTTTGAATTAATTCATTTTTTCTGAAAAAGTAATTAATTCATTACTTCTTTGCTTTTATCATTATCAAATGATTGTACCGATTGGATTTCTTTAAAGCATTTAAAGGGAAAAAATTGGCAATTGAACAAAAAAGCAAAAAATGTTATCACGAGGTTATCATTATACGCTGATAAGAAGGAAACAAATGGATTTCCTCACAAGGATTTGCTCTACATCATTGTTTATGGTAAATTTATGGCGAAATTTTCAGCTACACTTTTATACCGAAATTTTGAGCTACCTTTGAGCTACAGAAATTTTGAGCTACCCTTTGAGCTGCAGAAATTTTAAAAACTATTTAATTCATAATAACTATACGATATAATTAATTTTGCAAGACTTTCTATGTGCAATAGATTAATTTAACTGTCAGCAAATTCATTCATTTTCATAGACATAAAATGCCGCAGCAGTTTTCGACTTTATCTTCTCTTTCCCTTCTCTTTTCATTTTGTTTTTTTCAATCGATCAATTCATACTATCGATCGGAACAAAAAAATGAAAAATAGCAATGGTCTCGTGACAATAACTTCAACATAGTAACACAGCGAGAGACCATCAACGTTTTTACAACATTTGATACTAATGTTGGTGATAATTATTAGACATAATTATATCATTATCATTATTATCATCATCGTTACTAGTCCATCAATTGCTATGTTTAGTAGTAGTAATAGCGCCAATAGCAATACCAATTGAAACGATGATATTTTATTTGTCACTATTTTCGAAATTCATCTGCCAATATTCGGTGTTTCGATGAAAAAAAAAAGATTAATTTTGTGAAATTGTTGATATAATGATGATGAAGTAATAATGATGATGATAATGTTGATGATAATAATTATGCAAGCAAGGAGAAGAGTTGTATTTTCGGAATTGATGTGAAATGTCATATGTCATTATCAATATCAGTATGAAGAAACATCGATCGTCCTGTTGGTTTCTGCAGAACACTTTATTTCATTATATATTTTTTGATATCATTCATTTCATTTTTGATTTATTTTGATTAAAAATTTTGCTTATTTTTAAAATTTCATTATTTTTCTCTTTTTACATTTCTTCCCCTTTCTTTCTTTTAAATCCAATTTCTCTTTTAAATCGATATAATTTCTTTTATTGTTTTTTGTAGTAATTTCTTTTGGTAATTGAAATAATACGCTTAAAAAATCGATAAATTATCGATCACTTAATATTTATAATATTTTAAATCGAAACAATATACTTTTGCTTTAAGCAATCAACATTGTAGTATCTTCGACGAAATAATTTAAAGAATCAATAAGCCAACGATCATTATATATAACGTATAGCAATTTAACTTTTTGTTATTTTTTTCACAACATTTGTTTATTGGTTAGCGTGTAAAGATAATGTTGTTTATATTGAAGATTATTTTGAAATGTTATTTTATATCTCTGATTCATCATTATTTAGTGAAATACATAATCTTGATGAGTCATCGTTCGGCGAGGTCATTGCTACTTTTGTTCATTTAAATCTCACTATCTTTATTGACCAATGACTAAGTAAAATTTGAACTGTATTTAAAGGAAAATACATCGTAATGAGTCATCGTTTGTCTAGGTCATTACTGCTTTCGTTTATTTAAATCTCACTATCTTCATAGATCAATGACTAAGTAAACTTTGTATTTAAACGATTTAAATTTTAGCACATTTTAAATCTAAACCTTTCTACTACAAAGTAAAGGCTTGTCATTTCCTCCAACAACTTCAAACAAACAATGTCATTTAAATCGATTTTCGGTACTATTGTCAATGAAGTTGCAAAAGTAAATTTTTTAATTTTCTTTCACTCCATCCTTTAGGATTTTTGATAAACATTGAAAGCAATATTTTAAGTTAAAATTCAAATGTTCGCAATATTTTAGTATTTTAATATAGATTTTTTTGCCAGTTAAAAGTACTTAACTAAAGATGATAATATCTGAATAAGTTTTAATTAATGATAACAATTAGCATCGATAATTATTAATTGAAAATAGTGATAGTTATTTGGCAATGTTAGATCAATTTTTATTGGTTCATTGGGTGGCAATTATGAGTTGATTTTTTTATGAGTAAATTTATTACCAATAAGAAAGAGTGAATGATCAGTTTATTGCATTTTGTCCTAATCTATTAATATTTCTATAAAGGTAAAAGCAATAATTAACTTGATGAATCATAATTTCTAAAAGAAAGAAAAACAAAATTACACTTTGCTTATAGAAGGAATTTATTTAGGTGGAATATTAAAAAATTTTTCATTTACAAGAAATTTTATATCAGAAAGAAGAAAATTTCATTTGTTGGAAATTTATGAAATTATAATTCAACTTTTTTTTTGCATCATTTGTTATTAATAATTTAAAAACAAATATCATATATTAAAAATTCAACAATTCTTTTACACTCATTATTTCATCATTATTTATTCACTAATATCATTATTTATCAATATGGTTGAAATAATTTGAAAAATTTTACATCTGCTTATTTCTTTTAAATAATTTGTAAGTGATCACATTTGAGAGATTGTAACAATTAAACGATAACTTTGGATAGGTCAAATTTTTTTACAAAAGGGAATTACTTAATTTTACATTCAAACTTTAAATTTATATTATTTTTTAGGATTTAAAAAATATGCAACAAAATCGTAACAAGGATCGGAGCGATCGACAACAACAAGGTATATACCTTTCCTACAAAAATCATTTAACTGTTAATATCTGAGTAAATAGTAAATAAATAATAAGTAATTGGATGAAGTGAAATAAATTGTTTATCTAAATATATGTTTTCCAAATAAATAATAATCTTTTTTAATTTTTATACTTAGTAATTCGATTATATAAACCAAATTGTTTTAAAAATAGATCAAATTTTTATATGCCATTTCTTCGAAATAACATATTAAATGTTGTTTTCAATTAAATTCATTAATAAATGATCTTAATGAGACAAAATTTTCTAAACGAATGATCTTTTCTTTTTTTTAATTTTATTGACAAATATGCATTATTTTATTTAAAATATCATCAGTGATATTTTAAATTAAATAATGCTCTGTTGTAAAAATTGGTTGTAAAAATTTTTATTTGAAATGATAAGGATCGTCTTTTGTTACTTAAAAAACTTTTTGATCTAATACTTGCACACTATTTGCAAATATATAGCGAACATAGAACGGACATGGTTATCTAAAAGTTTACCCACCAGCTTTCCTTCATATTTATTTTCATTTCTTACCTTTCATTTATCATGCTATTTATTATATGCTTGATTTCTGTCGAATTCGAATTGAGAATTTTTCAAAATTGGAGAAATTTTTGATTTTTTATTTGGCTTTTTATTTGCATTCCAAATGGTAGTTCATGAAATAATAAATTATGAAAATGAATAGCAATTATAAATGAGTAGTCCGGGTTTTTCCAGGTACTGGTTATTTTGGTCAGCAAGATGGTGGTTACCCGGCACAGTCAGGCAGTTATCCGCCTCAACAGGGAGGTTATCTAGGACAGCAAGGAGGTTATCCAAGTCAGCAAGGAGGTTATCCAAGTCAGCAAGGAGGTTATCCTGGCCAACAGGGAGGTTACCCACATCAGCAAGGTTACCCTGGCCAACAAGGAGGTTATCTAAATCAGCAAGGAGGTTATCCAAGTCAGCAAGGAGGTTATCCTGGCCAACAGGGAGGTTACCCATATCAGCAAGGTTACCCTGGCCAACAAGGAGGTTACCCAAATCAGCAAGGAGGTTATCCAAATCAGCAAGGTGCTTACCCTGGCCAACAGGAAGGTTATCCAGGCCAGCAAGGAGGCTACTTCGGTCAGCAAGGAAGTTATCCTAGCCAACAAGGAGGATATACAGGTCAGCAAGGAGGCTATCCGGCCCAACAAACAGGACAACCCCCCAACCCAATCGGATTTAACAGTTATTCGTACAGTGGATCTGGACCAGGCCAAATAAGTGGCAGTTTTGGACCATCTGATCATAGTAAGTTTTCCTTTATGTCTTATTTATGATGGATGCCTTACCTTCTGATAGAATCCTCTCATAAAAGTTACTGTTTCGATATCATTAAAATGATTTCCCAACTACAAACATATCACATAAAAAATGTTTTTATTTACAGACAAAGTTTGATTTAACAAACTGGCATTTATGATATCCAAAACGATACCAATGAAATTTTAATTTGCGATATTATTTCTGTCATTTTTCAAATTTTAGAATGACAATTGTTAAAATCTAAAAAAGAGATTCCTTTTAATATAGGAATCTTTTTTTTGCATTTTTGATATCTAAAGATTAAGCCAAGTTTTTATAATTTAATGCTATAAACATGTTCAACAACCATTCGATTTCAAAACTTTCATTTCACAGTAAATTTATCAATTACAATTTCGAGATTAATTTTAATATTTATATTTACAACTTTCAAATTGATTTCAATGATACTAAAATGTTTGAATATCCCTTGACTTTATCAAAGTTCAATTTATTTATTATAACGCGATAATAGATGTTGACTTTCACTCTCTTGTCATATCTAATCATTTGTTTACATCTCCAGCATTCAATAAACCTATACTACCTTCATTTCCAAGTAATCTTAATAAATAATAACGCAAGCAGAATGCATTAAATATTGGCAATTGTTGCAATATCATATTGATGGAATAATTCTGTAATAAATTACATTTAAGTAAATTTAATTATTAATATGTAAATTTAATTATTAATATTTCTATTTTCAAGCACACTAATCAAAAAACAAATTTCATATTTTAACTTTAAATTTATTATTTTCAATTTTATATTTTCATTTTGTTTACATTGTCGGGTATTGCTATATCTTATCCCTCCCCCCTCTTTCACCAATTTTTTGCTACACTCCCTCCCATTCATCGACTTTTCAAATTTATTTACAACTCCTTCTCTCTACTTCATCAATTTACTCCTCGCATAAGGCTCAGTTGTATAATTGCTCTCATCTTTGTCCTATTTCAGTAATTTTCCATCGTTTGTTTTACTTTTTCTGTTTTCTAATATCATTTAATAATGAAAGGGCCATTTTTGAAGAGGAAAATAAATTAATAAATGCGGTTGGTAGCAAAATTAGAATATTATATTAGTGAAAATGTAAATGCTAACTAACTTTACGAAATGTTTGATGTCTAAAATTCAGAGATTCGATTGGCAACTTTTTGGTAAACACTTCAATATATTGACGATAGTGGTAATAATAGTAATGTAAAATATGATCATGCAATGTATACAAGCCATTAGAAGACAATTATAATGCATTTCCATTTGACATAGAATAATTGTAATAACCTTTCAAGTATTTACATATCTGACAAGAATTAATTAATATATAAGAATATTCCTTTAGAATTTTATTTATCAAAGCAAATTTTGTAAATGCTTTACCGAAACTTACTGACAGCTTTATTTGAAGTTTTTTTCGTTTTCGTTGAAAAAATTCAACGAAAAATTCATCGATGTAATCATCGTTAAAAAATTATGCATTAATGATGATAAATTATAGAATAATTTTGAAGTGTAGACAACAAATAATTGCTGTAAATAATATTAAATAAGCTATTTTATATTATCGTTTAAGATATTTGTAATATTGAAATAATTAACAAATGTCGATTGATTTTACTTTTTCAAGGTCTTTCAAGATTGGTTAGTATATTTACTAATCAACTATAACATACTAATCATTATAGCATACTAATTATATTATACCAATCAAAAATTGATTAGTGTATTATATGTCGATGTGAAGCAGTAATTTAGTGGTGAATGTTGTCAATAACTGGTAATTAGTAGTAAGTATTGTCAATAATTTTGATATTAATTACTTTCAATCTTATCGGAAACATTCAATATATACATTGTTTTACTTCTCTAACAATGGATATATGATATGTATTAGTATGTATTAGTGTATTAGTTTCTATTAGTTATATATAAGTTTTTTGAAACTTTTTTTTGCTCATCCTTTAATAACATCACTTTGGGAAAAATTATCATCGTATCATTATTTACATTCATATTCATAATATGGTGGGTGAGTGGATGATTCAACAATTATTTGTTTATCCATTCATTCATTTTAAACATTTAAAACTTTTAGTTGGAATAGTTTCAGTTAAAATACTCTAATATATTAGCAAATAATATCTATCATGCGATGAATCATACTTTAGAGTTGAAAATAATTATGCATTATTGATAAAACTTGTTTGTCACTTTATATTTCGTTTGTTTATCATATTCCGTTTTTTCAGCTTTTCAAAATATTTACGAAATAATTTATCAATTTCATAATTACATTTCGCGACAATACCTTTCTTTGGTTTTTATTTTTTGTTTCTTCATTGGAATGTACTATCTTAAAAAATTTTCAACTTTTTCTCTGTACATAATTTTCATCGAAGATAATCAATTTTTTGTTGGCATATTTATATTTTGTTTGTTTAATTATTTATTTATTGTATTTAATGTATGTTTGTTTCACTTTTTGTTTCTCTCATTTATTTTTGTTGAAATTTATTCATCAAAATATAGTTTAGATAGTATTATTAATTTATCAATAAAGCATTAATCAGTTGATCAGTTTTGTTAATATCTGAATATATTTTTTGAAGCTTTTTTCTCCCCCTTAAGAATTTAATTTTAAACGATTTCTTTATTTCTATATTTGATAATATGATCGATTTTCTTTCTAATGATTCTATCATCTTCAATTGGGATAGCATGTGGTCTGCATGTGAGATTATATATAAATTAACCGTATTGTTTAAATTATTTTCGTGAATTCATTAATTACTGAAATATTTGATAGGTAATTTATATTTACTAGCTTGATCTTTTAGTTTTAGTTAAAAATGTATATATTAAAAATTTTTCATGATAACTTTTTTGCAATTTCAAAAGAAGAAAAAGCAAGCAAATCTATTTGTGTTATAAAATAAAATAGATTTGTTTGTCTTTGTACGCAATATACATATATACAAAATTTCAACCCTTAACTTCCGCTTATCATCTATTCCCATCTTTATTTTATAACAAAAAAAAAGTGATTTTATTTTACATACTTTTAAAGTTGATAAATTTGACTAAAATTAGAAAAATTTTTAGGAAAACCTCACTGATATATATATATATATAACAGATACATGTACATTATATGTACAGGAGCAAGTAGAATGAATAAAATTGTGACAGATGCTGATATAAAATATACAAATATGCATGTCTACGATTCATGCACACATCACATTTAGACTTACAACGTATATGTACGTATTATTCACCTGGTTGACCGATTCACACTGCAACAATACCGACAATAATAAGACAATACACTTATGAATAGCATGAATTGATGTCCAGCAACGTGCCAAAAACGCTACAGGTTGCAAAGTCATTTCAAGTATTTATTTATTCAGGAGACATAATGCAAAAAATGAGCGGTCATGTGATGCAGCATGCATTCTAGCTCATGATATTCAGTTCATATCAATGTATTCATTACTCCCTTTTCCTCCTTTTTCAATCAGACGACTAACGGTTGCTCATTTGCGGTTATTTCCACTTCATCCCAGTTTCGCTCATTAACCTCTTATTTGCATATTTATATGTACTTGCACATCCATTTAATCCTCTTTACAAAACTCCCTTCAAATTTTAAGAAATTGAGTTCATTGCGCCAAAAAGGTAGTTGGAAACTGGATTATTAGAAGATTGGTTATTATAATACATCCTTTTGACAGGAAGTCTGTCACATTGTTTGTTCTTTCATTCTTACAACCCAGTGGTTCTTTAAATAACCTAAAGCTTTTTTTTAGTTTTGTTCTTGAATTTAAATTAATCTCACAGTTTCAAATCAAAAAATTAGGAAACAAATTAGCTACAACGAGGGAGCATTCTCATATCACTAAACTGGGTTCTAATGGTCAACGGTCAGTCATACAGCTCCCAATTTGTAATCTATTTACAGCGATGCCCACATGAATTGAATACATTTTCAAATGACACTCAATCATGACCATCCGAATCCAAAGTATATTATTGAACTTCGTCAGATGCGGATTTTACGTTGCTGTTTCACTTTAACAATGGATATCGTATCGGGAGTTAGTAAGATAATTTTGCTTAATTTTAATTTCACAATATTTTACAGTGCCGTAATATCGTTGTTATAAAGCAGAAATGGTAGTTTTTTGGATTGATATGCAATACCTACCTGATGTTGGTACATGGAGTATCTCGTTACATAATATTACCGAATACTCTCTCGGTAAACAGGTGCATGGTATTCAAAAGCGGATTAAAACTCAATTTGAGATTTTTGTGGAAAAACATGTTTCTTTTACTATAATCTAATGTTCTATAATTTTGTATTTCCATTCGTCTGCATGAGAAAAGAAGTGAATATTAATCAGACACAAACCTTACAAAAAGAATAAAACTTTTCTACATATCTTTTTAAAACTTCTTAAATAGTTCCAAAATTTTCACAGAAATTGTAGCTCTATTTTCTTTCACTGTAACGATTTCATTCATTGATTTGAGGATTTTTCAGCAAAATCTGTTCTATATTGTAAAATAGCAAATTATCATTTCATTAACTTCTCTTATTTGTTAACTATCAGCCATTATTCCGTCTGCTTAAAACGTTCTCTTGAAAATAACTTTTACCTTTTAAGTTCGATTTTCAAATTTGATCATCTTTAGAACGTGAGAAGGTTATTAACGAAGATAGGGGAAGAAAGGCTTCCGAAGCGTCGTATATTTCTTTTTTTCTTCCTTTCTATTTCTTTTCTGAGTTCCTTCTATCTTATTTCATATGGCATCATATCTAATAGTCTTTCATTTATTATTAACTTAACTGCATGTCCAAGAAATAATTCTTGAGTAATAGTCATGTCTCTTTCATGAATACATCATTCCGGCAAAAAAAGATTATTCAAGAAAAATTTATTTCGGATAAAAATGATTGTTT